TTCTCATGGTAAATTTGAAGATTAGATCTAATTCTCTCCCATAATCTTCTATTCACAAATGTTGACAAAATAAAAATAAAATACGAATGATACCATTATTTTTATAGCATATTCGTTTTATTATTGAAATTTTACGCACTAATTTATTTTTTTAAATTTCATATAACACAATGAGCAACAAACAGAAAACAAACAAACACAGAATGAGTGTGTGTATGACTAGAAACGAGATTTGTCATTATATATATATTCTTTTCTATACATTTAACATCGATATATTTATATAAAGAAAAACGAACTGGGGTCATTTTCGACAAAAAAAAAACAGAATTAATTCGAATACTAAAAAAAAACTTCGAAAAAAACATGAAATTAAGTTTGAGGTGGAGTTTGTTGATATTGGCCTTGTTGATAGGATGCATATTGAGGTTGCATCATCATTCGTGGTGGTTGATTTTGCCATTGTTGTTGCATATGATATGCTTGTTGTGGATGATACATTTGCTGTTGTCCACCATAATTACTATATGCCATTTGTTGTTGTTGTTGTTGATTTGAAACAAGATTTTGTGTGTTTGTTGCTTGAGAAGGTGAACTTGATGATGACGGTTTAGGTGATGATGGAGCTGGAATAATTGATTGTTGTTGACTATTTAAGGGAGAATTTGGTTTAGCCAATTGATTTGGAGGAACGGACATTCCTGGATCTTAAAGAGAAAAAAAAAACAATTTTCATATATACAATAATTTCAAAAAAGTTTATTTTTAATGTTTTTCCATTTGTCAAAAAAAAAAAAAGAACCCGAGAAGTATTTAACTAGTAATTTGAGTAGAGAATTCTTCATGAGGAAAAATCTTGTTGGAAATAAAACTATTCGAATAACTTTTAGGAATCATTTATATGTATTGATATTCTTACTTTGTTGTTGATGATACATTGGATAATGTTGTTGAGGCATACCACCATTTGGATGATGTCCATAACCATTTTGTTGTAATGAATATGAATGTTGTTGTTGCTGTTGAGGTATATATGATTGTTGACCTTGAATATATGAAGATGGTGTTTGTCCAGTTGATGAATGATCCATTGGAGTACCATTCATAACTCTACCTTGTTGTTGTTGCATCATTGGCTGTGATGATAAATAAGGTCTTGGTTGTTGTTGAGACATTGAAGGTAAATGACTTGATGTTGGTTGTGGTGTTGGTGTTTTATTCATAACTGGATTTTGAGGTGAAATAGATGATGTTATTGGACCAGATGGTGATGGTGATGGAACTGAACCAGCTGGTGATCGTTGTTGTTGAAGTGATGGAGGTACGGATGAATTAGTTGATGAAGTATTTGATGGAGGATAAAGACCACCAGCACTACTACCACCATGTGGACTTTTATTTAATGCTGATGAAGGAACATTCGATGGAGCTGGACTATTAGTTTGTGCTCGATACACTTAAAATAAAAAATAAAAATATTTTGTAACTCAAAAAAAACCATTCATGGACGAATCTCTTCAATTGATAATATCCTATATTTGAGTCATGTGGTCTTTCTTGTCAACTTATCGTCACATCGGATGCAAAATTTTCAAATATGGATTCACTTTATTGAGAGTTTTCAGGGTGGTGTTTTAGTATTCGGCGAGTAGTGTATCGTAAGCATTTGTTTGAGATGAAAGTTCAATAAAACTTCAGAGGCTTCTCTCGTAAGACCCACTGCCTGTGATATATTGATTCTTGCAGGGCAGAATTTATTCTAATCGCCTCAAAATCAATACATAAACAACTTATGATAATACATGAAGAGAAAAAAGATATGCATGAGATGGTAAATTGGACGACTTACAAGGCATAAAAGTTTAATCGCGAGCAAACATTTTCTTTAGTGTAAAATAGTTAATACAACGTATATACCGCTGTTCATAAAGGATAGAAAAAAGCTAACTAATTCATTAATGTCTCTGAAGAGAATAACGCAAATCTTATTTACTTTGTTCAGAAGTCGATGTTGGTACACCCATTTGATTTGGCTGCATCATATTATTTCCCTAGAAAGATAAGAATAATTAATCACTATTTCTTTTTAATATTTATGTCTTATATCTACCATCATTGTTGGTTGTTGTGTTTGAATGAATGCATCGGGTGGCTAAAATTTACAATAAAATAAACTTTTCTTGCTTTTCATTAACCTACTGGTAAAGTATTTGGATGATGTGTTTGTGTCATATCAAATTGTGTTAGATAAGTTAAATTTCGATGTAATGTTCGTTGATATCTGAATTAGAAAAAAAAAAGATGTAATTTCTTGTCCTCTTTTGATTGAATAACTTACTCGACACTTTCCATTTGTCGTCCTTTAGATTGTAACTCAAGTATTAATGATATTAATTGAGAATTATCATCGAGCAACTAAAAGAAAAACAACGAATTTACATAGATATTTATCCAATACAAAAAAAAGTAGCGATTTAATATTACTTTTTGAATAGTTGGTTTTTGTTGTTGAGGCATTGGAGCCATTTGTTGTTGAGAATACATTGTTGAAATCATGCACAAATAAAAAAGAGATCAAACTAAAAACAACACAAAAAAAAACAAAAACGAAGTTCAATAGGAAGAAAGACAAGATAAATTAACCAATGAAATAGGATCAATCAATTTTAGAGACATTCTAAAATATAAAAAAAAATTTATAATTTTATTTATTGAATCGAAAATTTTTTACGAAAAAAAGTTTTAATTTTAAAAAAACAACAATTTATAGATGTCGCTATATTTGCCAACAGTAAATTGTTCCATAGTTCTAGAAATAAACATCTGTCTTGGTTCCGTTTAATTTTTCAAGAAATGAAGAAAATTTAATATATAATATTGGTGAGAATAAAGAAAAAGGATTTTCTTAGTTTTAGTGGTTTTAATTTAGGTAGAACATCGAAAAACTCGAAGAAAAGTAATGCAAAAATAAAAGAAATATTTTTCATTTAAAAAAAATTCAAATATTCATTAAGTATTTTGAAGAGTTAGTTAAGGGATATCCCCCTGTCAGAAATTGCAATTTTCATTAAAAAAATAGGATTTTTATGCGATTGGATAACTTTCAATATCTAATAGGATTTAACCAATTCATTATATTTTTCTTAAGGTTTCTTATGTACACTGTTTCATTAAGATTGAGTTGCTAGACTAAACTTTATTTCACTTTTTTCTATTGCTATTTATTTAGCAGATGTTCCACACTATCGGAAGGTATCTCATCTTCTGAAATGATATAATATCAGAAAATGGAACACTTTTTAATTATAAGGATTATCACTTTTAATGTGACAGTATATTCACTGTGGAGTATCTACTAGATGAATACTTAATCTATTTTTTTTTGTATTTCTGTGTCAAAGATTTCCCGTCTATTTCATATGCCAGAAAGTTCGAGAAAATGTTAAATTGAAAAGAAAACTGTGCTCAACATCTTAACAGAGCTGGAATTTTCATTTTTGAATTACTTTTTATTTCTATAGATACATCCTAATTTTTTGAGATAAGCCTGTGTTAAATTATAGCGGATTTTTTTTTAGTTACATTTTATAATCAATCCGAAATCTGTATCATAAGATTTTGAACAAAAATCATTATTACACGGATACCTACTATGTGACTCTTGATATTATGGAAGTTCATGAATAGCTCAATATTTTGGATCGAAATATTTACTGTGAAACTCGCGGCATATATTCCATGAAATTTTCAACGAGATGAGTTCTTCTGGGAGCAACAATAAGTTTCTGACAGATATTTGTATTAATATGAAATTTAGTAGAAAGTATTTTTATTTTTTTAGAATGAGAAAATTGAACTCGTCAGATTAAAAATTCAATTCATTGATTGTTAAATTATATCTCGAATATTAAAAATCTAGCTTATTTGGTTCTAACAACAATGCTTCATTATATTAAAAAATTGTAGATGGCTATTCTTATTAGTTAACAAAATGAAGACGTATATTGTAGTTTAAGAACATAGAATATGGTTCATGTAAAATGAAAGGTTTTACTAGTAAGCTAAAGAATTTCAGAATATGTGTTGTTTATGACATGCACTGATTTAGATATTCGAAAATTTAAGGTATTTACAAATATATGTTATGTGTAAAGACGTGCGAGATCGAGCTGTTTTTCGGTTTGCGTAACATTTTTTGTACTTTGATCCCAGTCCATAGTTTAGGTCAGTGCGGGAACCAAGTGAATGGTGCTCCTCTGACGATCGAATGGGTACTTTCAGAGTTTGTGATTATTGCACCACGCATTATGTCACTATCCTTACAAGAATAGGTGTTGATCCCTTGGGAAGAGAAAATCTAGACAAAACACGAGTCTCGATATATGAATCAGACCACCATATGTTATCTATTTCTTCTTACGAAGAAAGATCTGCAAGTGTGACTTGCCAATAAAACTGATATTTTGCTTGTAAGTAAGCACTGTCCTTTCCAAATTATTACAATTTTATCGATTTTTTAAAATTTCTGGCCAGGTATTGATGAAGCAAATCGAAATGCAGAATTTCAATCTGAAATAGGTAGATCTCGTGAACATCAGAATGCCCGAAAAATTTCATCTGAAAGAGATTTGTTCCTATTAAGATACCGAATGTTTGCTTTCTTACTTGTCCTTGTAATAAATGATTGTTTTCGGATATTCAATATCTCAGAACGAACGCATTCGATCGCGCTAAAAATTTTAGTACATTCTAATATCCATAAAACCTACTTATAGGCAAAATATCAGTTTGACTGGAGGCTACTGTTAGGGACCTACTATTCTTTAATTATAATTTTTCTATATGCAAGCAAAATTTTAGTTCCAAATATTTTAGTCATTCAATAAAAATATCACGTATCGCATAGCTAATACATATATCTTTAACTTGATTGATATTAGGCTTAAATACAACACATTAGTCATCCTAGTAGAAATATATCAATTTTAGTTTTGTTTCAGATGTATATTCGTCAATATAATCCTCGTTTATATCTATCTTTATTGTTTAAGCATGTCAAAAATCTTTCTACAACATCATCAAATATTCTTAAACCTTATCCAAGTTATGTTGAACGTCAATTAGAAGTTGTTATCAATACATCATCAGGTGATGAATTTGTTGAAATTGATCGTGAAACAAATATAAAATTAGCTAAACCAACAACATCAATTCGAGCAAATATAAATTATGTTGATACAAATCCATTAGGTGATAAAAAACAACCAATTGTTTTACTTGTTCATGGTTATCCTGGTACACATGAATCAACAAAAAATTTTATTGAAGAATTTCAACGAAGAAATTTTCGTTGTATTGCACCAGATATGCCTTGTTAGTTAATTAATATCTTTTTTTTTTTTTTGTTTATTCAAAGAATAAAACAAAACATCTATTGTCTTATATTTAGATTGTGGAAAAACAACAATGCCTTTATGGAGTGGAATTATTTGGAGAAATTCTATTTATTTACGTGCAAGATTTCTTGGAGAATTACTTAAAAATATAATGAAAGAAAAATTAATGTAAAATTTTTTTTTCAAGAAATTTTTAATTTTATTTCTTTAATATAGACCTATTCATACAGTAATTGGTTTTCATGAAAATGCTTATGCATTAATGTCAATGATTGATCAATATGAATATTTTCATTGTCAATCATTAATATTAGTTGATCCAACACCGAGAAAATTAATTCGGTAGAGATTTGTATTTTTTTTTTTTTTTTTCGTGGATAATAAAAGAAAACCAAAAAACTTGTAGATTTTTTATTCTTTGAAGGTTTTTTCCATTAGCTAAATTTGCATTTGATTTCGGTCGAATTCCACTTCATTGGCCAGTAGCAAAATCTCTTTTAAAAATGCTTGGTTATAAAGAATTATTAAATTATTCTCAACGTGATATTATGGCTGCCTTACGTATTTGGATGATTGAAGATACATATCAGGTAAAAAAAAAATTAAGAAATTTTGTTTCGGACTGTTTTTTTTTGTTTATTGTAATTTATAGTATGATGCACATATACATAATTTATGGTTATCTCGTTTACGTACAATGGTTATTTTATCACAAGAAGATAAACATCTCGATAATAAATTGTTAGATGCTTTAATTAAAGATTTAGCTGTTGAACCTTTCAATAAATGTAGGTAAGATTATATAGAATTAGATTGATCTCGAGGAGTATTTATCAATGAAAGTTTTTCATTTGAACTTGATAGTTGCTCCGAAGATATATGATAGTTTTTTTGATCATGCTAGGAATTCTTGAGACAATATTAACGATGATCTTATAAGAATCAAGATGTAATTGACTTGTTATTAGGGATCTGCTAGCCCACATTTTTGTGAAGACAAATCCGATGTTTTTGTTTTTCATCAATATTTGTTACCCTCTTATTTACATGAATAAGTGAAAGATGACAATTTTAGCTATTTATTATCAACTTTCAGAAAAAAAAAAAAGTCAACATACAGTTATTTTTTTTTTGTTCATTTTCCAATCTTTTAATGCTTAATAAATTAAAAGTTCTTGATTAGCTGAAAAGAGCACTATGTTAACAAAAAGAAAGGTAATTGAACAGTTAATTGACAAACAAAATTTGTCAAAACAACAGTAACAGGAAAATCTTCACATGTATGGAATAATTTTAGTTGTAGTTATGTAAACATAGGACGGTGTGGGTACACATTTTTTTTGTGTTCTCGAACTCGCAGGTTCTTCTTACCCAACGGACTCTAGAATAGCCTCAACTGACAGGAAACATTCTAAGAAAAAGTTTCACAACAACGTAGTTGTAATTTCTTTTTTTCTATCATGGCAAGATTTCTAAAAAGCCGGACGTGGTAATTTTCAGATTTCAGTAGCTATTTTTTTAACAATGCTATTATACCTATTGGTACTGGGTTGTGAGCATTTGAATAAAATTTTGTCTATAGATAAATTCGACAGTCCTGAGATTTTCAATAAAAACGAACATGTCTTTCTCGAGATGTATAATTTAAACAGAAGAAAAAAATAATAGCTTACCAAAGAATAACTTAATAATTAAATCTATGTACTTGAAAATTAAATATCTCAAAAAAGGATGTCTGTTTTCAGTGAAACATTCGACACTATCAAATCCGCCTATAGACAAAGTTTTCGATCAAATTTCTTTTTTTTTTAAGTTTTTTCAAAGATATTTTGTTCTCAATAAAAATTTTATTAAAAACACCATAATTCATCATCAGTTGGACATGAGCCTGAAGTCTTTTAAATTTTTCTTAATCTCACTTGTAGTCATTATAAGAAATCGAATGACATCCAATTGTTGAATATAATTTCTAGTAAAAGATAGAATATTAATCAATGAAACATTTCAAAGTATATATATATAACATTAAACGAACAGTATAAATTAAATAAATATTGAATTTATAATTTTAATTACTAATAATGATATTAGAAAAGACATTAATCTAATTAAATAAACAAATTTCTTATGATAAACTATCTAAGAAAAAAAGCAAACATAAAAATGTCACATTTTGAATTTTTTTTTTTTGAACAGTTGAGGTTAATCATTAGAAGTAACATTGAAAAGGTCACTTAAATGTTACGCATAAACCTATGGTATATCAGTTTAGTGACAATATTGAGTAATCCTTGTATTTGCTAGGTCAAAGTATTACGATAGATCAGATGTTCTAATAGAAAATTCTAAAAATAATTTTTTATTACTTTCATTTTAAGCAACTATGGCTAATGCTGTTATTAAAAAATATGCTTGTGATCATAATGAATTATTAACCGATCGTATAAGTTATGTTGCCAATGATATTGAAACATTTCTTTCAATGACTTTTATGTCGCCAGCTGCGGCCATGTTCGTATTTATATGATTTCTTTCTTTCTCTTCTCTTTTTTCTTCTTTTTTTTATTGTCTTTTTTCTCTTTTTTATTTGTTTCATCCAGACCACAATCATTTTCATCGACAATAACAAGAGCAAAAGAAAAAGAAAGAAGAAAGCGAATTATAGAAACGAACAACAACGAACAAGAAAAATCAAATATTGAAGTTGATGAAAGTGCATATAAATGTGAAAGTGTGAATGATTTTTTTGCTAAAGCATTTGGTCCAAGTCAATCGGAATTAAAACCAAATCAACCACATAGTATACGTTCAGCATTTGAAAATATTGCTGGAGGTTTTATTGAACGACCACCACCTGGTGCAAAAAGAGAAACATTAGCAAGCGTAAAAGAAGAAATGAGAAAGAAAAAAATTCGTATTGACACAAAAAATTAAATATATACAAACGAGTGTACGTGATAAACATCTTTTTTTTTTTTTTTGTTTTCACCCTAAATGTTTATATTGACTTTGGCCATACATAAATGTGTGAGAAAAGGTTATTTTAGATCGGACATCTTCATTTGATTTGTTTCAGATGTTCCCATCACATCTCTATTGGTTTCTTTACCGCCGTCGAAATAAATTATTAATACTTCTTATTATTATATTTTGTATATTATTTTTCTTCTATGGAAATGAATATAAAGTATCACCTAAAAGTAAAACACAAACAAATAAACCAAAAAAAATTGATGCTAAAAGAAAAATACGTATTAATCGAGAAACATATACAACACCAGAACCATGTCAAGGTTGTCCAGGCGAAGGTGGACAAGGCGTACAATTAACAGTAATTAAAAAAAAATTTCAAAAACTTAATTTATTTATATTATTTTTTTTAGGCTGAAGAATCGAAAAATTTAGATGCTGTGATGAAAAAAGAATTTTTTAATTTACGTGCAAGTGATAAAATTTCATTATGGAGATCAATACCAGATACGCGCGATCAATTGTACGTAAGATTTTCTACTTTAATGATAATTTGAATTGTTTATTTGTTTTTTGATTATGTAAATGCAGCTACCTAGTTGTAGTTTTGTCTCACAGCAAAAAAAATATAAATTCTGTTACACTTTAAAAAACTAATTTTTTCTTTTGACAAAAATACGGTAGTCGGTGAACAATTAATTCATAGAAAAACATAAATGCAATTTTCTTTTTTTTTGATCTTGAGTTAATTTTAATGACACAATTTTACAAAAAGTTCGAATATCTTACAAGAATGTAGAGTGAAAATTACGCAAAATTTTAGTTTATAAAACATTACGTAGAGCGCAATAATTCTGATATTTTTTATACCAATACTATTTTCCTCTTTTAGAGAAAAAAAAGCCGGAGTAAAAAGCATTTCGAATCAGCATACAATCCTAGTTGGAAATAAGGATATCGCTCGGTCTTTTTTTTTTAGCCCCTTCTGATTCTCGACAAAAGATACAGGCAGTCACGTTGACATTTTTTTATCTGTGACAGATCACATAAAATACAGAGACATATTCGAGAAAAAACAAATTTAGTCAAGATTTTCTTGTTTTTTTTTTCTGGAGAAGTCTAGTTTTTCATAAAACTGAATCGGACCCACTTACGACCCTTTTTCAATTTTGTCCGATCGGAATGAAGTTTTTTTTTTTTTTTTGAGATATCTCAGACTAGATCTCACGGTTGATTTTAAAATTTTTCAAAAAAATCTCGTTTTTTTATGAGAGAAATAAGTTCAGGTTTGGACCCGAAAGCAGGACGTTCGTGTTCAGGACTCTATAGATCCAGACAGGAACATCAATAACATAAACAGTCGATTTCACTTCTGAAGAATACTTCTGAGTATTTGCAATAAAAGTTTTAGCTCGACTGGACTCATGAGAGAAACAATCCGGCTGATAATTTCAGTTTGAGTCCATAGGTATGTTTTCATAATGTGGATAAAAAATTCTGAAAGACTTTCTACCATTAGATCTTTCTTTTCGATTTATGATCATAATATTGAATTTGTAGTCTATTGTAAGATATCCCGAGAAAAATTACAATAAGAATTTTCAGCGCGAAATTCTCTCTAATAATAGCTCTTACGATTCGTATGATGATGTCCTGAAATTTTCAGCTCAAACGAATGATTACTTCTTAAAATATCGTATATCTAAAAAACTGCACTGTTTTTCAAGCTTCTGTATAAAAAAAAAAATAGCTTTTTTTGCATACGTGCTATCTCAAGATTTTTCAATAAATATTTGATTGACTAATTTATTATATATAGATGTAAATCTTTTGAATATCCACAAGATTTACCAACAGCATCAGTTGTAATAGTATTTAAAAATGAACGTTGGTCACCGGTTCTTCGAACAGTTTATTCCGTACTTAATCGATCACCAAAGCATTTACTTAAAGAAGTTATTTTAGTTGATGACCAATCAGATATTGGTAAAAGGAAAAAGAAAGATTATTGTTCTTTGGATAAAAATAATGTTTTTTTTCTTTCTTCAATTATTTAGAGGAAATGGGTCAACGTTTAGATGATTATTGTGATCAACATTTTGGAGATTTAGTACGTATTTTACGAGCACCAACAAGACTTGGATTAATTAAAGCAAAAAATTATGGTGCAAAGAACGGTGAATTTTCTTTGTTATTAACAAAAAAAAAAAAAAAAAACGAAAATTCATTGTTTCTCTTTTCTAGCTACTGGTGATGTTGTTGTATTTCTTGATGCACACTGTGAAGCAAATGCTGGATGGTAAATAAATAAAATAAAAAAAACTTAAAATTTATTTAAACAAAAAAATAATAAAAACTCTAGGCTTGAACCATTAGTTTATCGTATTCAACAAAAACGAACAGCTATACTTTGTCCTATAATTGATGCAATAAATAGTCATGCTTTATCATATCATCCGGGTTTCGTTCTTTGGATTGGAACATTTTCATGGTCACTTCATTTTTCCTGGTCTCATATTTTTTCTCGTATTCAAAGCATACGAAATTCATCAATTGATCCTTTCCCGTAGTTTTTTTTTTTAAATATTTGCTTCATTTTTAAATGGTGATTGGGATATTTTATTTTTGGTTGTTTTTATAGGTTAGAACCGCTTTTGCTTCGAATTAAAGAAAAGCGTTCAGCTATTTTATGTCCGGGTATAGATATGATTAGTGATCAAAATATGGCTTATGGTGTAAGTCATGTTTAAAGCTAAAGTTTGGATTTTGCTTTGTTATTTTTTTTTTATATTTCGAATTTAAAAGGGTACAGGTGATGGTAGTGTAGGTGGTTTTTGGTGGTCGTTACATTTTAATTGGATACCGATTCCAGGACGTATAAGTAATGCAAAAAAATCAAGAATTGATCCGTATCCGTGCGTAGTTTAAGTTGCCTTTGCTTGAAGAATTTTGTTTTGTTTTTCTATTGAAAAAATTTTATTTACTACTTTTTCTTTAGATCACCAACAATGGCTGGTGGTCTTTTAGCTGCCCATAGAGAATATTTCTTTGAAATTGGTGGTTATGGTAAGAATATTAAATATAAGTTTAGACAAAAAGAAAAGAATTTTTATGTTTTCTTTTTTTGTTTAGACGATGACATGGAAGTAAGATTTGTTGATTGTAATCTTCTTTGATGGCTTCTTTTAATAAAAATAATAATAGAGTTCTTATTTTCATGAAACAAAAATGTCCTACGAGTTTTTTTTTATAGCTAATGAATGTGTCTAAGACATTTAAAAAATATCGTGAATTGAAGTTTTATATCAATCAAACGAATGTTTTCTTCATTATGTTAAGGAATAGAAACTTGCGATATATGTACTTCTGTTATTGTCAGCCTCCTTCCATCTCTGAACGGTGGCTAGAGTCCGTCGAATTCAAAAGATGATTTTAAGGTTTTGATCCACAGACAAAATATATGTAGGTTAGTAGAAAAAGAGTTCTTCTATTTAATGCTGTACGGGTTACCGAATTTTATTGCGCACTGTTGAAACGTCAACAGAAGACGGCAGCTTCGTTGTGACAATTGTTGAGTGTGACGAAGATGATGTCCTATATTGACATGTCAGTGCTAAGCAATAGAACAACTTGATAATGCACACACTGTTAGACAGAGAAAGTCTTCCTTTGCTTGCCTATATAGATTTCGTTCTGAAGCCGAGCATCACCATGAAATTTATATCCGCCTTTTAGAACTCGATAGGCCCATATTTTGATACTCTCAATGAAATTTTCTAATCGGAGGATAAAAGATTCGTTTTTTTTCGAATTTTTTGTATGCACTGATTAATGTGCCCTACAAATTTCTTAGACTACTAGAGCGCGTCGGATATAGAATTTTCAGACTGAAACCAACTTGACGGGCTCTAACAAGGACTCATCAGAAAATTTTAGGACAGATAGATCTCGATAAGTGGAGCAAGAGCTGCCATCGATTTGAAATTCGTCAATATTTCTCTACATGGGATACTTGAGTCACAAGTGCTAGATAGAAGACATTGTTCAGGATGCCTACTGTTTTCAACTAAAAAAACCAATAGTCTTAGAGAATATTCTGATATTTTTGACTAGAACTTGTTTTTCAAATCTTGGTAAAAAACTACTAGTGGGACGTACTATAGCTATTAAAGATTCGATGCTAGACTTATTAAATAAAGAACTTTCTGCAGTTAAAACTTGCTGACTTTGCTTTTAAAATAACTTTTTCTTATTGACGTATAATTGAAAAGATCAATATCTACTCTATTTTCGAACTGAAACAATCAAAGAAATTAAAAATAAGGATGAAAAGTTCTGACTAGTAATTCTGTTGAAATTTCAGATATACCAGAACATTTCTCGGAAAATTCTACACTCCGTGACGCTTATTACAGAACATAAGAAAAAATATTAGTCGAAAAAAACGTGGAAATATAGCTTTATAGTCACACTATTTCGTTGAAAATCGTACTTTACTTTTAGCGTCCCACGTGAGGAGCGTTTTCTTCCATAAACCAATAGGTGTTTTCATTAAATAGAAAATCACATGTTGACGAAGAAACTCGAAACTCAGCTTTCCGATGTATCTGAGAGAGACCACGGTATTGTGCTAAAAACATGTAGTATCTCGTAACAACACGAAATCAGATCTCCTTGTAGAGATACGCAGGCTAAAATTTTTTCTGCTAACTGACTCAGAAAAGTCTTTATTCCATAGATTAGCTTACTCTGCACATTTGTATTTCGTGAAGATCTGCATAATACGCATTGCCACAAGTGAAAAGCAATAAGTCTGTTGACGAATTTACCTTGTTAGTTAGTATAAATTCAGATGAATCATTGAATAAGAATCTATTCCAAGAATTGAGTTTTCAATGTTACAGTTTCGCGAACAAACAGTACACATATGAATATTGATTTAATTTTTGTGCCATTAAAATATT